GTTATGATGTGGGGTTGGCTTTCTTGGTTTATTTTTATGGCTCCCATTTCTACTTGCCACTATCTGGCTTTAGACAGTTTGTAGCTAAAGGAATGTAGCCAACAAAACAGAATTCCATGAAGCCAAATTAAAAGCCCCGCTTACAGATAAACCAATTCAATACAGGTTTGCTCTGCCTTCTCAAGTATGGTCAGATGTAAGAATCCATTTTATGTTACCATGAGTCCCTCTGGAAATATTAGATAACTTCACTAAACAATCAGTGGTTATTTAACTTATGGAAATCCAAGCGTTCAGAATGATGAGCTCTATTTCAGATCTGTGTTACAACAACAGCAAGACTTACAGAACTGTAAAGAATAATTCTTTAGCTTCACATACTTGTGTAATTATCTTAAAAATTGAAATGTCACCAATGATACAATACGGTCATAAGTAATTAACCACCTCATTAAAATCTAGAAATTAAAAGTAATTCATGTTCCAATAAAATTGTCCTTCACAGCTGGATCTCGGTAGTCCATGAACCTAAGCAACAACGGCAATGAAGGAAATTAAGAGACATCGAATACTTTTCAGGGGAGTTTGCAGTCTGAAGCAAATAGGAACAGCAGGATAGAACATGCCGTGATGATTAGTGTTCTGCTTAATTGATGTTGAGATGCCATCAGTGAGAGAAGGCAGGTGCCACTTTACTGGGGCACTTTTCAAACGCAGTTTTTAGAAGGAGGGAGCTAAGGAAGACAAAGAGCACAAAAGTTCCTGCATTACTGGAAAAATCTTTGCCTATTCAGACTATGCACAACTGAAACATTACAGCATAAAAATAACGAGAAAAGAAAGTTTGTGAAGTCCAAAACTTTACATGAAATAAGTCATATTTTTCTCCTGTTCAGCACTCTGTAGGATAATTATCAAATGAAGAAAAGCAGTAGCAGCTTATTGCATGGCATCAAAGCATTCCCCTATTTAGAGATCACAAGTTGCAGCCTATCAGGGAGAAATTAATGCATTTTAAAGTATTCTCAAGCTTTTCAACAAAACACTAGCAATTGAAACTTGTCATTCTGCAGTCACAGAGTAAAGACCTACACAGTCATTACCGACAGTTTCTGTGTGTTCAGAGACAATGATCTGCGACAGGTTAAGACAAATTGCTGCGATAAAAGCAACTGAAAAATATATTGTAGCACAATTCTGAGGTCTGGCATTGCAGGGAGCTCCCATATTTAAGTCAAAGTGCTAGAGAATGATTAATGTCAAAATTTACACGGGTCCTTAAATAAGATTTGTCATCATGAATTCTAAACCTGAGATTAATGGGAGAACTTAAGTTTAGTTGCAGTGTAATATTCTGTAGTTGAAAAAGGCTCCGTGTGTTGCATAAGGAATAGGTGTCAGTAGCAACGTGTGCACACTACTAGAGAAATCACATCGGGGCTGACAAACTGAGGTCACAATGGTACCAAGAACTCGCCACAGCTTCACTCCAGGTCTTAAAAGGAGTTAAGCACTTGCTTCAAGTTGGTCCCGAGTGAGCGTACCTGAGCACAAGCTCACCTCTACGCACTGACACAGGCAATGCTGATGTCAAGGGCCTTTAGCTGTGAGCACACATGATCGCCTGAAGAGGTGGCTTCCTGACCTGGGTTTTGCCAGAGGCCTCTGCTGACGGAGCACGGCAGGACTAGATGCAGCAGCCTTGACCTCGCCAACGTGCAGGGCTTTCACAGACCATCAGCTGCAGACAAGCTCTTTCCCTTCAGGTATGTCCTGTTAGGAAGGGCTGGCAGAAGATGTGCATCTGGCTTTTGCAGATGTTGTGCATTTGTTTCATGTCAACTTCCTCCAGAACGCCAGACTGACAGTCCCAGCTATCTCACACATTCCCCACCATCTTTGAAGGGAGAGGACAGGTAACTGACACACCATACTGACCCAGTTATTTGGTTATACATGATTATATTTTGGTTATAGCATATTATAACATATATATTATAACATATTTCAGTTATATTTCTATAGCTGTTATTTAGTTTTTTTTTGAAAGGGCAGTGCTGATCGTGTGTAATTTTATGACTACTACCCTGTGATATGGATTTTTTTTAAAGCAAATTCACTGGAAGAATCCTGTTTTTTTTTTTTTTTTATTATTTTTGAGGTTTTGTGGCAATTTCTACAGAACTGCATTAAGTATTCATTACATAACAGTAATACAACCATCTGCTCTGACTACCCAAAGGGGAATGAATTTTTGCATCCACCGAAAACCAGACACAAGGAGCCTGAAACCTCAGTGCCCATCTCAAAAGACCAAGTCCTCGTCACTCCACGCAGGCTATTTCACGAGCTGTTCGGAGACAAGCAGACAATGGATCGTTAATCTCTGATTACATTCCAAGACACATTTTAATGCAGCCTGCATGGTTACAGGAAGGCGTTGCAGCTGGCTCACTGTTCGCCCACCCACTGAAGCTGACTGAAGCTTTGGCTTGCTCCCTTGCCTTCCCCACCGACCAGCACAAGCCGAAAGCCAAAAGCACAGAGCCAGCCCCCAGCAGGCTTGTTCGGAGTGCAGAGAGCGGGGCTGCTCTTTGCTTCAGACTTGTCCCAGTTAGAACTGGATATTTCTCGAACTGCCAAACTGCTTCACTGAGTTTCTGTCTGCTCATTTTTAATCACCACCATAATTTCAATCTTCTCCAACTACTGTGAACAATGAATTAAGAAGAGCTACATAAGTCAGGGAAGACTTTATTATTACTTTTTTTTCCTGATTTGGAATGTCCTTAGCTTGCCATGCTGAGCAATGTTCTTTGGTCAGTAAATAATGCCACCTGCTGAGCCAAGGATACACCCAGAACGTCTGCATGCACCTAGGTATCACCAAAAGACCCTTCTTTTACTTTTCTGTTTTATTCTTTTTGCTTGAGCAGAATTTGCAGGAGCCTTGTTTTATTTCTAGGAACAGAGAATGCATGGACAACATATGGATTTGTATAACCACAACTGAACGAGCTCATTAACCCAGTTTTTATACTAGCACCCAGCACTGTAGGCCTGTACAAGCACAAAAGGCGTTGCACGCTACTGCCCACAGAAAGAAATCCCCAACTTGCTGGTGCTCTTCTCCCTTCGAGCTCCAGCGCTGTTCCAAACTCTTTGGGGCCAAAAAGCCCAGAAGGGAAGCGTCAGCACTTAAATGTTAAGACTTCTCAGGTGGCTGGTTCACCTTGTTATTTTAAAAAAGGTTGGGAGGAAGGGGGGGGTGAGAAGACTCACCATTTTATCCCCATCGTCATTTCACAGATTAAGAGGATTTAGCATCAGTTTCGCCCTGGAGATTGCCTGGACAAAGCAGGGTGACCCCCAGCAGGCTGCTCAGGACCATCTCCTGTTGGGTGTCGAGTATCTCCACTGATGGAGACTCCATAACCTCTCTGAGCAACCTGTGCCAGTGTTTTATCACCCTTACAGTAAAATAGTTCCTTTCTTCTTATGATTAAATGAAATTTCCTGTATTTCAATTTGTGCCCACTGAAGACCCATTTTGTCTGCCTTGATCAAGCCTCCCTTTTTAAATGACTTTTCTTTAAACTAAATATCCCTGGGGTCATTATCTGTAACAAAGGGGATGGAAAGAAGCTGCATTAAGATTTATGTATCCGCATCACACCAGCCTGCACAGCTCAGCGATCAAACAGGCTGCGCACCTTGAAAGCAGGCAGCCCTGAGAGTTTCTCTTACCCCTCAGCAGTCTTCAAGAGGTATTTGCTTCTAAAGGACATTGTCTCCCTAGCTGCTCTTGAGCAGTTCTGATCAATGTTGTTCCTTACTCAAGCCAGAGCCATTTATTATTTGTCCTAATGGCCAAAGAGATGTTTAATTTCATTATCTCTTTATGGGTTGCTTGGTGCAGAGATGAGTTAAGTGGATTACAAATGCCACCTGTTTTCCAGGGCAATTTTAGAAGCAGATTAAGAGGGAAAAGAAAATGCAGAAAGATACTGAAAATGACCCTATACATGTTGCTAAACTCGACATCAGGACTTCTCACATAGAAAAGTTTTGTAATGATTCAATTCTTCTGTCAATGCCAGGTATAAGCAGTGCTGGAGTATTAACCCTGCAGTTCTGTACTCAGCAAGAAAAGTGAGAGTAACATTTATTAGGCTGTCTTTCTAAAGACTCCAGCAAAGCTATGCTGATTCTGCAAGGAACAGGAAGTTCAGAAATGCAAGCTGAAACGATTACTGCATATACTAAGAATATAAACACATAAATTAAAAGCCAGCCACCCCAGATGTGTTAGTTACATGAACCAAACTCTAAGCATGGTATTTCTTTCTACTTTTCCAAAGGCACGACCCTCATTTTCTTCAATTTTCTCCCCATATGGAAGCTCATCTTGTTTTTATCTGTTCTTTTTCTATTGTTAATAGCTATAGACCAGCCATGGCAGCAGAGGAAAGAAGAAAAATAATTTTAAATGAACACTTCCATTTTGTTAGGCGGAGCCTCCCTCCCTGAAATGAGTTACAAAAGAAGAAAAGAAAGATCTGAGACTCATGATAAATTCACATTCCCAAGTAACACCAGGAAAATAATTTCTTATTTTACATTAGAAGTCATTGAGGTTCACCATGCTCACGAGGGCTATGAACTGCAAGGATTCAAGGGACAAAGGAACAAGGCCACGCACACACAGACGTCCCTCAAACGTCCTGCACGAGCTTCTCTGTAAGGCCTCAGATCTCCCCGCTCCCCACCAAGCTTTTCTTTATCACCATCTGCCTTTCCTCTACTAACTAATTTTTTATCCTGAAGATTATAGGGCTGTTCTACTTTTAAATAACAAAATGGACATTTCACAGTGGTTTAAAACATAGTAAGATTGTTTTTCCTTTGGGGGGAAAAAAAAGCAAAAAACAACAAATGCACTTTCAGCAACATTGCGAGAGAGGAAGGTACACAAGCAATAGGTTACACAGTCAGAGCTCTAAGGTGGGCAATCAATTTTTAATTCAAGTTTTTCTAATACTGAAACAGAAATAATATATTCCCCATATCATGCATGAACAGAGAAATCCAGACTTCTACAATATGCACAGGTTAAGTAACAGCTGCATAACTCTGCTGCTTCTAAATACACTCTTGATGTTTTCACACAAGAGGTGGGGTTGTTGATACAGTCTTCCATCCAGTTCAGTACACTTGGGATATAAACAAGACTGAAATCTGCCAAATTGGAGTACTGTAGTCTACTTTTCCCCGTAATTAATTTCTTCATCAAGTTCTTTTAAAAAAGGACACCCCACAATCCTGATGCCGTTCAGAAGTCATTTTAAAGCTCACTCTTCCCCCCTGATCCACAGCACCGCTCACGGAGACCCCTCCAGGTATCGGCCGCTGCTGTGCACGGCCTCGGTTACGGACAGAAGCCCTGGAACAGTCTGGCACTGAGTGTAACATTATGATAAGAAATTATTCCCAGATCTGAACCAGTTTGATGACCACAATTAAGAGCCAAGAGCACAGCGTGCAGCTCTCTGAGCAGCGGCAGGTCTCATCGCGATCCCACCTGTGATGAACCACATGGAGCAGCGCAGGCTCACTTCACACGCCATGGGGAGGGACAGGCGCCCCCAGGGGCAATCGAAACACTGTGCCAGAAGCCCGATGGGGTGTTCCTCTGTAGGATCCCACAGCTCCTCTTCTCTCCCAGCTGCTGGGGGACCAGAGCTCTCCACACGCTGGCAGCAGCCAGGGAAGACCTCACGGGGAGATGGGGGGCAGACAAAGATGGGTTCAGGCTTTTTTGGTTTGGTTTCTGTCTGGTTGGTTTTTCTATTTGTTTTCCCTAGACAAACGGATTTAAAATTAGAACGGAGCAAAGAGCTGAAAGCAATCTGTCAAGCAAGTGCCCAAAGCTTCTGAGAAAGAAGGCAGGCCTGGCCTCAGGCACATCTGAATGCAAGCACGCAGTCAGAGCGGAGCAAGTTCTCCTGGCAGGTCTTATGCCACATGCACCCAGCTCTACTGCGAGGTACAGAAACGCAGGGAACACTGCACCAGGCTGGTACACTGCCATCCCAGCTCAAGTGTCCCAGGAGGCAATTACTTACATTTAATGGCTGTTTGCTTTTCAGGCATGGCCAGGAGGCATGTGGAGATTCCCCCCAGGTTCACAACAGGGACAAGTGGCTGCCAAGGAATGGCCAACAGCAGCTCCCTGAAAACATCAGGAGGAACTCACAGCACTCACATTTCAGACTACAATCGCCCTGTAACACCGCTCGCTTGGCAAGGACAGGACAGAGTCTGTTCCCCCTACAGCCCAGGCAGCTTCTCCCCACAGGTCCCCAGCCCGCAGCTGGCTTCTGTTTGGGGAGAATGGGAATCGGAGCCGGTGCGCGCATCCCTGGCATGCCAAACTCCTGTCCTCCTAAGTACAAACCAGGTATTCACAGACAAGAGCCAGCCAAGCATCCAAATACCTATTGCTCAGGCAACTATAACCACAATTTATAAAGGCTTTTTCTGTTTGTTTTGCACTATCACAGAGTAGTAAAGCACATTGTTTTTTCTCTCTCTCCCTTTCATCGAAACCATTCCTCCCAAATGCACTTTCCAACTACAAGGCCATTCTTCTTGAAAGGGACAAAAAAATTCCCACAGAGAACCATAAGATCTATTTAAGCAATACTTTCAAAAGATACTAGCTTTTAAATTATCAGCTCAAAATTGTGGCATAAATAACATACAAACAATGGAAAACCATGTGTAGATCTTGCTGTTATGCAGGGAGTTGGAACAGAAAGTACACAACGAAACTACAGCACATCTCCCAGGATTTGATCTTTGTGGGTTTGACAAACACATTCACAAACAGTTAACGTGGAGCAAACAGCCTTCCCCACATGAAAAGTGTCTCCCCGTGAGTAAGGCATCCCAGTAAAGTTCTCAGGAGTCTAATGATGAAGGTAAATATTCCCCAGCATCGGTCTGTTCAGTTCTACGTGGTGATTTCCCAGGTCCCCTGCAGTCAGCAGCAGTTTTGCCGGTGACTTTGATGGAGCCAGGTACCACCTCTGGGCTTAGTGCTCGGAGACGAGCTCGCTCACCGCAGCACAACGCAGTCAGTACCCACCCAGAGGGGCAGCAGGAAACTCGCTCTGTAGCTCAGATGAACCTAGGCAATGATCATATTTTAAGCAATATGATTCATGCAGGAGTATCTGATTAGCTTCCCCATCCACTATTGGTTTTAGAATAAAAAGATGGCTCAATTATTCTAAAGGTGCAATTTTCCATTCCTCACAAATCCATAGTCCCACTGAGCACAAGGAAGGCAAGATTGGGTCCTTTGAATACTGTGGCATTGAGGTTAATGGGAGATTTAAATGCACAAGAAACGCAGGATCTGGTCATAAGAGTATTTGAAAGAGAATTATAATAGTCATAAAAATGAAAGGATATTTATTCAGAAATGCTTCAGTATCTCATAAGTTATTTCTTTTCCAGACTCTTTTCTCAGCTGGCTCACTGCAGCTCCTGCTCTCCTTAATCTTTCCTTTCTAATTCTTCTTTTAAATATTTATAAAAAATTTGCACAGATGGGAAAAAAGCTGAAGATCTGAAACAAAATTAATTTAATAAGGGAAGGACTAGAAGCCTATTATTGGTTTAGGCAGCCTCTTTTCATGCTGTATATTGTAACTAGGAATAATTAATTTGAAAGTCCTTGATCTTTGGGAGCTTTTTCATTAATATTATTATTAATAATAATAGCAATTCACATTCACTCTCTCCATTTCCCTTCCTGCCTTTAAGTACTTCAGTGCCTCCAGGCTGCCACAACACGGGCTGGATATAAAAGCTGCAGCTCTCTTAGATGTGCAACAAAGGGCTGCGGCGCAGGCAGGCGGCTGCAAGAGCCCTGCAAACAGTGAGATCAGGGCCAAGTCCACCCACACGCACCCGACGGCCGGGCTGGGGCAGCCCTGGCTTGTGGGGCAGGGCTGGAGCATGAGGACCTCGCGGCGGAGCGGGGCCTGGTGCTCCAGCACCTTTCTCATTTCGCATGCCTGTGCGACAGCCACAGCCTGATGCTGAGGGAAAGCACGGTGCTGCCGTGTGAACGCACACGGTGCCAGCACCTGCATCCCGCGTGTGGATCCCGTGTGTGGATCCCATGTGTGGATCCTGTGCTGCCAGCCCAGCCTCAGCAGATGGGGCCTGGAGCTGAGGACAGCAATTTGCCGTCAGGGGAAACCAACAGGTCTTGACTTCGGTCCCAGCAACCACACAAAACACTTGGCCATGCTCTAACAACATGCTCAATCCATGCAGGTTTTGGTGTTTTGTTGTTGTTTTGTGTTTTGTTGTTTTGTGCTCAGGGCAGCTCCAGAAATAAAAGCTGCAGCTCCTGACCCCAGGGATAACGCACTCTGCACCGCACAGCCTGCTTTCACCAACCAGGCTGAAGTCCCAGTGGGGCTGCCTCACAATGTCTCATCAACTACTTCATGCCACTGTGCCCTATTCGTGACTACGGCTTCTTGGTCTTTATTCCTGTCACATGAACAAACAGCTTTCTCTTACCTTCCTTTCCAATGGCCTTGTGGTCTTGTATATCCTACTCACGTAACTTCTAACATTGCCAGGACACAGCAAGGCTATTCTTCTCCCTCCAGAAGTTCACTACACCCGTTTGCACTTTCAAGGTTTTGGGATCTGTGCCTTTCTGGATGCCTGCCCCAGCAAACCAAAGCAAGATCCTGAGAGGCCCTCAGGTATCAGCAGTGACAGTAACACGGACTGGAGACAAACCTCACACCACGTGCAAAAACCCGCCCATGATTCAATTCATCCATGGGGTGTCACAGTCTCACACAGGGGTGGAAGCAGAGAAAACACAAGGCCTCAATTTCTCCTTGTGCTGAAGCCATGCCACGAGGGAGCCCCAGCGGCTGGCACCTCGGGCTGCCTGGCAGAGCCTGCAGCTGGGCTGGCACCTTGCTGCAGCCCCTGGATGTGTCCCAAAACAAAGCTGCCGACTGACATGGGGACTCCTCAGTGCCACACACGGGGGCTTTTAACTCCTCGTTTCTGTGGGACACGACCTGCCTGTGTGCCCAGTGAACACGCTCTCCCCGAGTTCCCTCAGAGCTGCTTTCTTCCCAACATTAAGGGAAGGAACAAGATCTACATGGCACTTCCAAGCTGGATTCCTTCAAGGAAAGAATTCCAGCCTGTTTGCCACACAATGGCTTTTTTTCCCCTTATTCATCTGCAAAATACATCCCATATCTAGAAAATACAAAAAGACCATACAGACAAATAATCCCCTGTTTTCAGTCTAAACCATTACATGTCAACACTCCTTAGGGAGACCACAAACCTCTGTTTTAAGTAAGGCCGCACTAACTGTTGCTTGAGAGAAGCTCGGTCTCAGCAGTTACCTTCCTAAATTGAAGGATCACAAGGCCAGCTTAGCCTCTTTCAAGTTAAGAAGTAATTTGTCCAGAGGCTGAAATTTAACTTACGGAATTATTTTGTACTAAATAGTACACTGCTACAAATGTAACCGAGTCTTGTAAGCTATGGAGGCACAATGCAGGACACATAGAACACCCTGGTGAATCAGGACAGCCCAGCTCTAACTAGATTTAGCCCAATTCTGAAGGCAGTATAAAACAGGGGTTGATCGTTCCCACAATTTCTGAATGCAGATATCAATACGTGTATTTGTTTTTGTTTGACTTTATTTTTTCTGATGTACAATTCCCAAACGAGATGAGACATCTCTAGCATTACAGCCTCAATTTGAATAGTGGAGACAAAGCAAGGCAAGTTGTTCTCCAACACACACATGCAGGCACACCTGTCTCAGAGGAGGTGGAGAAGACAAAGGTCTCCACCAAACGTTCACCAGGGGGAATTCTGAAAGGGGAACAAACAGCAACAAAACCACGGTTCGGAGCCAAGAAGACAGCTAAGTCAAGGCCAGGACTTCTTCTGTCTCCTGAGAGAGCACACAAACCTCTCAGCACAACATAAACACGGCATTCGCTTGGTCTACCTTTTGGTGCCTACATCAGTGCTAAAGCCCTGGCTAACCCCCTCGGAAGGAAATTACCAGCAGTTAATTGCACAAGTCCAAGCAAGCTGTTCGTGGCTTCTGTGAGTTGATGGAGAGAAGTAGTTACGTCCAGAGGGAAATTTACCACCTCTTAAGCAACGGGTCTAAAACACTCCAGGGACTCTGAAGGGGACCTCCTTACCTCCACTGCCTGTAGAAAAGCTCAATTCCCATTCGTGAAGTGGAGCTAAAAGCACTTCAGCATCTCACAGTGTTTTCAGGAAAAGCACAAAGTTGTACAGCAGCCAGGTAGTAACCGTAGAAGAGAAGGTAAGTATGCCCTAGACAGTTGATATGAGCTAGCTTTGCAGTGCTCAATTTGTTTGCCCTCCAGACAGCTGAAGCAAATAAGTAATGCACATGCACTCTTCACAGCGCTCTAAGCCTACCATCTACACTGACAAAAAAGAACTGAAAAAAAATAAGATCATAGAATACAGGACCTGGGAATAAACATCATGTTCCCCGAGTGCAGCTGAGGGCTAACAATGCATCTAAAGAGGGATCAAAACCCATGAAAAAGGCACCGCGCTGCCTGCTAATTCCCACCTTGGCCAACAGCCATGGGCACCTTGCTGCCCACTCTGCAGCTCCCACCCGCACACAGCAGGTCAGGGATTTCTGTCTGTTTCACGAGGAGCTTTGAGCCTTGTACATGGAAGTGTTAGGCACAGGAAGCAATTATTAAATGGAACCAAGCTGCTCTTTGCTTTATATTAACAGACATTCGTATTACAGGAATAATTTCAAAATAGATGTAACACTTCTTTGCAGGAACTCCCAACATTTTATCCAGATGACCCTGCTTGTTTTAATGCCAGTAATGTGTTTGATACCAGCCAGCATCGTCAAATTCATACTGCCAAAACACACACACTCCACCTCAGCACCTGTACAGAAGTAGAATTACTGTAAGAATTACTACTTCAGTAAGTTTTAATGGATCTTGGAAAAAAAAAAAAAAAAAAAACAAAAACAAAACACAGACACGTGGGTATTTACCCAAAACAAAATTTCACCTCAATTCTAAGCAATAATACAGGCAGGGGAGAAGAAAATTCTCAGGAAGTGTTTTTATGTAAGAGAACATGAACATTTAAAAATTGCCAGACAGCTGCAAAATGCATTTAAATAAAAGCAAAGGCATCGAACAGTTGCAACAAAGCCTTCCAGCTCTGCTTCGGAATGACGCTGTTTCAACATAGTTTCTAATTTCAACAATACTTTTTTCTTGTTTGTTTTGGTCACTTTATTATTGTTATTATGCCTTGAAGCAAGATTTTCTTCCAGAACAAATATTCTGTGGGTATTTTCTCAAGATGCAACCTTTAGACTTATTGATTATTCTCCCTTATAAATGTTTATGCTCTGACTCCCATCACGTTTTAATTCAGGTATTTTTGTCGAGTGCTAAACAATTTATTAAAAATAATAATAATCATGTACTGCATTTCATCACCCTGGTTTTATCCATAACAAATTAAGAGAAAAATATTGTAAAGCCCACTGTGCTTAACCTCTCTCTCTAATTAGGAACTAGATACTATCAT